GATATTTAAATACTTTATGTTCTTTATAGTCTTTTAAACAGCTTGAATAAAATATATTTCAATAAAAAAAAACATTTATCTGTACGATACGATATGCAAAATCATGAGCTGTATCGTTTTCCTTCAATGAACAAAATAATTTATCAGTATGAAATCGTCTTTGTTCTCCTTTTGCTTAATAATAATAATAATAACAATAATTATAATAATAATAATAATTATTATTATTATTATTATTATAATTATTGTTATTATTATTATTTATTATTATCAGTATTATTAATTATTATAAGTATTATTATTATTAGTATTATTTATTATTATTATTATCAGTATTATTATTATCAATTATTATAAGTATTATTATTATTATTGTTATTATTATTATTATTATTATTATTATTATTATTATTATTATTATTATTATTATTATTATTATTATTATTATTATTATTATTATTATTATTATTATTATTATTATTATTATTATTATTATTATTGGTGGTGGTGGTGGTGTGATGATGGTGGTGATGGTATTGTGCGGTTCGAATTCTAACTGTTGCTACTACAAAGTATCTATCAATACAGTAAGCAGAGTAATCCTAAAGAAAAGCAATATAATAATAATAATAATAATAATAATAATAATAATAATAATAATAATAATAATAATAATCATAATAATAATCATAATAATAATCCCTTTTTTACCAGAACTTTGCCAATTCTAAATTATCCCCCCATACATTTCACAGTCATTTCATGATTCTAGACAGTGAATTTAAATAAATTCATTTTTAACAATTGTTACATTTACAAATTATTTTACGAAGAATATTCTCTTGTAAAGACATCGTTTAAACGAATCATGTTTGGTTATCAAAACGATGCCATTATTTATTAATTCGTTGACAGATTTATCTCATACCTTTTTAAGATATGTAGAGATAGACCGGTTCAAATATTGAAAACTAAAATGTGCGTCCGACGAGGGAAACAAGGTAAGATAGTATTGTATTGGGAGAGTATTTCAAGAGATAACTTTCGGAAAATGAATACAGGTTGAACCTAGGAAAGAGGAAAGCAGTTTGTTTTCTTATCATTGGTTAAAAACAATTGTTTAAAGTGATTTTAATAACATAATCTATTGAACGCACTATAGTTCTCTCTCTCTCTCTCTCTCTCTCTCTCTCTCTCTCTCTCTCTCTCTCTCTCTCTCTCTCTCTCTCTCTCTCTCTCTCTTAAATCGTATAATATTTCAATCAGTGGGTTGCAAATTATTTTGTGTTTACTGCTGTTTGTGGAAAGAAAATATTTATTAATATTCTTTCTTTAATTTGTGTTTAGCTCATTGTTTCAAAATAAATTTTTAACCGTTAGTGTCAATTGAATTTAAATATGTTCTTATGCAAATTGAATGAGGGCTCAGTATTTTGAGATTATTAATTGAGACCAAAATAGTCTTTAAATTAATGTAGACCTCCATGGTACATGTTATTGATTTAAAAAAAAAATCATTACAAATTTTTAAAAAAAACTTTGGATTTTAAAATAATGAAAATGAAATGACATACATATTTATCATACATGATGATAATTATCGTACATGATAATAATTATCGGACATGGTAATAATTATCGGACAAGATGCATAATCGCAGTCAAAACTGAATAATAGAGATTTGTTTTCTAATTTTATTTTCAAATGACAAGAAATGACAAGAAAAAAGAAAATGTATGTAGAATTTCCTTTTTTTTTTTGCATGCTTCGTTGTAATAGCATAAACTTTCTTCATTTTGTCAACAGTTAATTTTAATATTTGTCTCGTTTATCATTACTGCAGTTATCTTTATCACCGTCCTCCTATAATATATTTGGTGATATTGCACGTATTCAGAGACATATTATGTTTTTAATTATTCGTTTTTCAGTTTCTTTTCCTTTAAGGAAAGTCAGTTTTTCTCCGCGAGTTAAATCCAGCGGTGAAAATTTCCAGTGGTTAAAGTGACACGAGAGTAAATATTTATGTATAGCTGTCACAGTGGCAGTTTCTATCGTTTCCCAGACTCTCCGATACTCTGAGATAACGATCTGTGGCTTTCACCACCCCGGGAAAATCACGGAGGAGATGTAGTGGGATGGGGGAGGGTAATATCGGATAAGTCACCCGGAAGCATCATCCCGCGCTATATAAAATATTATTACATGAGACCCACAAACTTGATTCGTCAATATTATCCGGTTCTTTAATCGTATTTCATCTTGTTTATGTAAATTAATAGGCTGTCGGAAAACTGTGTACACAGTGTCAAATTGTACACAATATCTAAAAGCAAGATTTCGTACCTTATTAGATGCCTGACAAGATCCTCAGGCAAGCTGTCTTTATTATTTTGAAATATTTTCCAGAACAGATAGCTTCAAAACGGAGGCCATATTGTTAAGAGAATACTATCTTGTTATCTCACATTTCAAGACAGTCAGAAGTGGAGGACTGATGGTGGGTGGGTGGGAAGGTGAGGAGACGGAGATGGGTGAGCTTATGTGAATAATGAATCATATATAAATGCTTCGTTCACAGTTCAAAACTAAAATTTATATGTATACAACTGATTATATACCAAGTCTCGTTATTTTTACATAAATATTTGAGTGTGCGGCAATATACCGAACAATTTACAATTCTCACGTTAAGTGGCAAAATCCAGAGACTACAATTGCATCAAATTTCGAAAATTAATAATTTATTTTTTTACTAAATTGCAACCAGAGTACTATTACGATATCCAAATATTGTCTAGTCACACACACGTACGCACGCACACAAACACATACACACAGAGAAAGCTAGAAACCTCTATGTTTTGGATAAATTAAGACTGTCTTTAGATGTCATTCATCAGTCAATATAATCTCACTCTAGGCTGTTTGAGATTAAGTCTGACAGCATTTGTATCGTGGTTATCCCGAGGTTCTGTACCTGGCACACTGTAATAATAAAAACTGTAAACATCCATGAATCGTCTGCTACGATGTATTGAAAACAATGTTCTTACTTTAGCTTCATTTAACATTGGTATGAGCACGATAAAGAACAAACTACAAGAGCTGTTTATAGAATTGTTCAGTAAAGAAACAAGCGGAGAACCCTCAGATGTCATTCGGAAAAAAAGATGTACTTTTACTTTTCAAAATTAAATGGTATTTCTTGAGCAAATCACCGTTATTATAAACCATTCAAATAAGAAATCGGTTGTATTCTTGCGCATCACTGTTTGGCCTTTAAATCTGAGATATCAAGACTCAAAAACTTAAGTAATAAGGTTTTGTTCATTTGTCAGAATATCATTATCGCAATATTGGTAATAGTTTTATGATATATATATATATATATATATATATATATATATATATATATATATATATATATATATATATATATATATATATATATATATATATATATATATATATATATCAAAAGTACAAGCGGACCATTTCAGTAGCCTAGTGGTTAGAGCATTCACGTCGGATTCAAAAGGTCGTTGGTTCGAACCCAGGCCGAGTCATAACAAAGACTTATTACAAAAATGTTACCAACAGCTGCCTCGCAAGTCGCGCAGAGCGGTTAGTGTTAAGACTGGTCGGCCTGATGACAGGATAATATGTCTGGATAGATAACATCATGCTTCATGTCTATGGCATGATGGCCCAATGTTAGACATCACTATAAACTGACACTCTACTGACATCTTAGTGATATGATTTTAAAAATGTTAAAGCTACGTTAAAATTCCAAATTACATGCACACAGAAAGGTTCAATAGTATGTAGTTTTCAGAAGAAAAATATTTAAATGCTTTCATTTTATTTTTGTCTCTCAAGAGCATAAATAAAAATAAAGTAAGTTTTACATTGGCCACTGTACCAAAGTCATTGGAAAAAACTTGAATGTTGTTCTGTCATTTGACGCACATTCTCTCAGTAGTGTAACAACAGTTCAAGAAACTCCTTGCATTTGGGTGTGAGATAATTTCTTGCACGTCATCTAGGAGTAGGAGTATTCACCAAAAATGGCAATCAAGAAGAGGTCTTAGTACAAATGACAATTACGAAGAGGTCTTAATACAAACGGCCATCACAAAGAGGTCTTAATACTAATGGCCATCACAAAGAGGTCTTGATACAAATGGCAATCAAGAAGAAGTCTTAATGCAAATGACCATCACAAAGAGGTCTTAATACAAATGGCCAACACAAAGAGGTCTTAATACAAATGGCAATTACGAAGAGGTCTTAATGCAAATGGCCATCACAAAGAGGTCTTAATACAAATTGCAATTACGAAGAGGTCTTAATGCAAATGGCCATCACAAAGAGGTCTTAATACTAATGGCCATCACAAAGAGGTCTTAATACAAAAGGCAATTACGAAGACGTCTTAATGCAAATGGCCATCACAAAGAGGTCTTAATGCAAATGGCCAACACAAAGAGGTCTTAATACAAATGGCAATTACGAAGAGGTCTTAATGCAAATGGCCAACACAAAGAGGTCTTAATACAAATTACAATTACGAAGAGGTCTTAATACAAATGGCCATCACAAAGAGGTCTTAATACAAATGGCCAACACAAAGAGGTCTTAATACAAATGACAATTACGAAGAGGTCTTAATACAAATGGCCATCACAAAGAGTCTTAATACAAATGGAAATTATAAAGAGGTCTTAATATAAATGGAGATCATGATAAGGTCTTAATACAAATTGCCATTATGACGAATTCTTAAAGCAAAAGGCCATTATGAAGAGGTCTTAATACAAATGAAAATTACGATGAGGTCTTAATACAAATGGCAATTATGATGAGGTCCTAATACAAATGGCAATTACGAACGGGTCTTAATATAATATCCATAATGATGAGGACTTAATAGAAATACAAACTTTAGATCAACCTAAGGATGAACCTATATGATTGCAATACACTTAAGACCGCTGCGGTGGCCTAGTGGTTAGAGCGTCCGCCTTGAATGCGGGAGGTCGTAGGTTCAATCCTCCACGGAGTCATATCAAAGACTTACAAAAATGATATTAACAGCTGCATCGCAAGATGCTCAGCATTAAGAGGTTAGTGTTAAAGCTGGTTCGGCCTAGTGTCAGAATAATGTGACTGGGTGGGACATCATGCTACATGTCTGCGGCATGATGTCCAGTGCTAGACATCACTATAAACTGCCCCACTACAGACATCGTAGCATTATGACATACTGTGTTAAAAATCCAAATCACACACAGACACACACACACACACACACACACACACACACACAAATCACACGCAATATACTTATATGATTGCCATGAAGTCACAAACACTTCTCCAAAACCATAAACTGATCTGCATTTATTCATGAAACGATACTTATTTATTTTTGTCTATAGGTATGCTATCATCATTGTTCTGTACAATAAAGAATTGAATTTAAATGAATATATCATACTATCACCATTTTCATTTGAGAGAAAATATTTTAGCACTGAAGTAAAATGCATTTTTACTACTACTACTACTACTACTACTACTACTACTACTACTACTACTACTACTACTACTACTACTACCGCCATTATTACTACTGCCACTATTAACACTACTACTACTTATACTGCTGCTACTACTAATACTGCTAAAACTATTACTACTACTACTACCATTGCTACTACTACACCCTTACAAATATTACTATTACTACTACCACCACTACTACTACTACTGCTGCTGTTACTACTACTACTACTAGTACTACTACTACTACTACTACCACTATTACAACTATTATTACTACTACTGTTGCTGCTGCTACTACTACTACTACTACTACTACTACTACTACTACTACTACTACTACTACTACTACTACTAATAATAATAATAATAATAATAATAATAATAATAATAATAATAATCATTGTCATCATTATCATACAACAATTACACTAGCCCCAATTTGGTTGTTGTTGTTGTTGTTGTTGTTGTTGTTGGGTTTAACGCCAATTTTAAGCACATGATAGGCTATTCATGGCGGCCAGTATTAATGGTGGAGGAAGAAACCGGGAAATCACCGGAAAGAACCACCGACCCACGAGAAGCTACTGGCATGCTTTCTCACATATCCACATTCGCCGAATCCTAGACTCGAACACACGCAGACAGAGGTGAGATGGCAGTGATCCGTAACGGACAGCGCTTTAGACCACTCGGCCACTCGGCCCCCCCCCCAATTTGGTAAGTCCAAGGATCAGAATTTAACTGATTGATATGACTTGATATTGACCTAGCAAATATATGCCGATGCTTGTAATAATAGATAGTAAATTGTGTAATAATGCAAAAGAAAGTGTATTAGATAGTGTAACAGAGTAACGGTGCAATAGTAAGTGTATTATTGTAATAGACAGTGCAATAGACAACGTATTATACACTGTAACAGTATAATATACAGTGTAATAGATAATGTAATAGTGTAATAGACACAGGTGGTATTCAAAATCTCGTTATCCAAACAAATCGGAGAAGAAAAAATTTAGACTTTTTTATATTCACATTATCAAATAAGTATTTCTATGACTAACGCAAAAAGTGAACATTATGTGGCTTGCTTCATGTTCTAACATAGTGCGATTCATGTACTTACTTTGCGGAGATTTCATTTATTGAAGTTTTCTTTGATCTGCACATATATTTCTATAAATTGATGAACATTCATATTATTTTTTTTGAGGGGGGGAACAGAATTAACCTATTTGTTACATGCATCATATGCCGGAAAATACGACCTTAATAAAAAGAAATGGCCCAGATTTTATTTTTTAATTATGTCATTATATATCTGGATGTGTTATTTCTCATGTACACGACTATAAGAAAAAATGGAGAAGATATTGTACATTATTATATGTTGAGTAATATATTACACATTTTCGAGTAAAAACTGTCGTAATAAGCCTTCCTTTTTATTTTCTTATACGAAATGAACATACATACATACATACATACATACATACATACATACATACATACATACATACATACATACATACATACATACATACATACATACATACATACATACATACATACATACATACATACAGACAGACAGACAGACAGACAGACAGACAGACAGACACAGATACAGATAGACATACTATTAACTCTCAAATATTTGCGTTAAGGATTTGTCTTCAATACACATGTAGCAAACTTAGGGCTCCTTCATCCGAGACGTAGCAAGAACCACGGCTAGAACTAAAATTGCCCCCCTATCAAAGCTTAGGAAGTAGAAAAAAAACTTCTGCTCACCGATTTTGCGCCCCCTTCAAAGTGGCTCCCACGGCACGTGCGGTGTCTTGCCACACCCCCGTTGCGCCTCTGTCTTTCATTTAATCGTGTTTGACATGGCAGCAATTCAATTTTCTTTGTCACTTGGTTTTTTCTTAAAAAGCAAATCTAATATTTACATAACATAGGGAAATCTAGACGTGATCAATTAGTTTGCAGTTCTGTTCTTTCTTTATTTCTTTTCAATGTATTTTCGCCAGTTGACTTAACGTTTTAAACTGCATGGGGCATCTGAAAATAAAAATTAAAATATTTACAAAAACCGATTTTGAAATAGCAAGTTTTCTAAAATTTGGATGACAGCATCCAGACGTATAGCAAAAGAGCATACAATATAGAATACTTTATTTCTGTTACTAATACACAGTTAACCGATATACGTAATATACAACACGGTTTGGTTTTAGCTATAAAGCGTCCAAAGTATATTTTCCCTCATAATACGTGGCGATTTTATTTGCTTAAAAATCGGGTCCAGCCGTATATATTATAAACCCTGATATCCGGGTAACATAAAGCGCCGGCAGATTAAGATCTTTGTAGATTATTTTACAAATTACTCCTAACCAACCACACCGACCCAGATCCGTTGGTTGCTTTTGGTCGATATAGTTGGACTCGACTTATATAGGATATATGGGAGAGAAGACAGCAATAGCTTGTCCCAAGAAATAATTTCAGAAAACACATTTTACCCTTTCTGTTTCAGTTCTCTTTAAAAATTGTTTGGATTTTCTTTTAAAAAAAAATAATTCTTCGTAATTAGAATTTTTTCAAATACGTATTTAATCTCTGGAACTCGAACGAACTAACATTTACCTTTAAAATAATGAACAGACGTCATAGTGAACAAACCTGAAGCTATGTGATCGTGTATTTTTATTTGACTGGTTCCTGTAATTAGATGAAATAACCAATCGGATCGCACCATGTTTAATAATTTTCTTTATATGAAAAATAAAGATATTTGCTATTCTAACCCCAACACAAAATAGACAGGTAGCAAGTATGTTCTGACTTCTTAAACCTTTTCTCAACTGTATTTTTTAAATAACTATTTTTTCTGTCGATTTCCACTGTCTTTCAAAAGTGTAAATAATTCATGGTTTCTCCGGCTATTATGTGCCATGTGCGCGTTTTGACTTTTGATGACTGTTTCTTTCCCTGATTATCTCTAAACGTTCAGGAACAACAACTCTGTCCTAACTACAATATATAAAACTAAATAATAACTATCAAAAAGCAGATAATTTTCTAAATGGCCAAGCTTAAACTTGTATGATCAATGTTTATGGCGGGTACAGCAAGCCTTGTTTTATCTTGGAGGTCAATTTTTCCCCACTCATTTGATCATTGCGCCTGTACAGTTGTTTAACTTTAAAAAATAGTTTTATAATAAATCTTAAAAAAGATCATTAATCCAGTAGATGCGATCTTTTGTGATCTAGCTAAATAAATGAGAGCATGATATATTTTTCTTTCTCACATTCGTTCATTTTCTGCAATAATCAATAACTAACCTATTACATACGTCTGAACATATACATTACCAATAACAATAAAGAATGTATATTAACTTTTAAATATCTAATTTGAGGCATGTTATCTACACGTATTATTTCATACAAAGTGCTTAGATTAAATATCCGACACTAACAAAGTAATAAATAAGCGGAACAATTAAACCTTTCTTTAGGAAAGAAGCAAAACCGAATCAAGTGGGGGCAATACCTATCTCTGACGTTGTATCCCTAAGTTGAGATAGACGCTTGACCACTCCGAGAGAATTTCTAAGGTAACAATCTACATTCTAAAGGAGTGTAATAATTAATCCCACTACCATTTACTAATAGACTGTAAAATGTAGTCATCCTTATTTCAGCTGGATGTAGCTAACATGACTGTTAAATCAAGTAGATTTTCATTATCATCCCTGCGATGAAAATGCTACATGTTTCATAATGCATAAAGCACAAGTTCTGGTGTGTGTGTGTGTGTGTGTGTGTGTGTGTGTGTGTGTGTGTGAGTGTGTTTAACCACAGAACATATAAAGAATTCGTCCTGACACAATAAACTATTTTACAAATGCAAAACAATATAGCTTATATTAGTCATTTCTAATAAAAATAAGCATAACAATGTTTTTGAATGTTAGAATGTTAAATTATTATAGAATGCTATTAAAACTATATTTACGCATAATTTGTTATGGATATTAGTATTATGATTTAATTTCCACAACTTGTTTCGGTACTTTTTTGTAGGAAACTACATGCTTATAACATTGCTTTGACGCATTGTATGAAAACCTTGGAAAACACTACATGCTTTATAATGCATAAAGCACAATGTGGGATTAATTATTACACTCATTTGGAATCTCAGCCTATTTATATAATATCCAGATAAAAATATTATTATTTTCTTTCTAAAATCACATGCATGTGGTTTTACTACAGTATGGCTAGTCGCATCCTTTTGTGAAAAACTAAAACAAAATGGAACTGAACGTACTGTAATCGAAGCAAGTTCTCAATAATTTGTCCGAACTTAAATATCTGGGTTTTTTTTTAGAATTTATTTGTAAGTATATTTAATGTATGTAATACACTCTAACATATCAATTATATGTTTATTTAAGTTTTATTTCAATTTTAATTTACGT